TCTTATCTCTAACGAGGCATGTTTTCCCTGACCTTAAATGGGGACGGAAAAATATTTTTTGGGTAAATTACATGGACCCCCCTGTACTAAGGGGTCAATGACAAAGACCCCCTGTACTTTTTTTTGCGATAAAGGCCCCCTTGAACTTTACATTGCGACAAATGCCCCCTCTGTCGTTAAATCATGTAATGGAAGGCGTTAAATTACCAAAATACCCCATTAAGCTTTTTAAATTTTCTTTTTTTTGCCATTCTCTCTTAAAACATAACTGGCCCAAAAGTAACTTTAATCGTAATGATTTGTTCACCACAGCCACAAGTTCTTGTGATATTCAGGGGATAGAGGTGTAAATCGGGTCGGGCCGCCCGACCGGCACGGCCCAACCCGCGGCACGGCACGGCCCGCCAGGCCCATAACGGGTTGCGCTCGACCCGCCCGGGAATATAGCCATTGGCCCCCCTCTCAAAGGGGCCCAACGGCTAGTTTCAGCTTTTGGAGGGGTTACAAAAATACCCCCCCCAATAGCTATAAGTAGCTATATTAGGGGGTATTTCTGTATTTTGCTTATGGGGGATTGAAAAATGACATAAATGCCCCCCCAACAGCTATATAAAACTAGTTTAGGGGGGCATTTTGGGTAAAGTTATAAGTAACTTTACAATAACCAAAATACCCCTCCCAACAACTAAATAACAGATAGTTTTTTGGGTATTTTCGGCAATTGAATTATGTTCAAATCCTATAAATAGACCTATCCTCCACCATTCTCATCACACCAATTCAACAATTCTCTTAATTCTCTCTCTCTCTCTCATACTCATACATTCTCAATTATCTGGAATCTGAGAAATTATGATTAACTGATTGTCTGATTCTACATTCTCCAATTCTCAAGTCTCAACATCACCGAAGTTTCAACTTTCAACAAGAAGAAGGTTTGCTCAATCAGCTCAAGTATCTCAATTCAGGAGGCTTGGACGTTGAAAGACTTCAACCGTTGAAATCAAGTTGGGATTTTCCGGCAATCTGAGTAAGTCAAATTAGATTAATTTTTATCTTTTTAGAATTAAAAAAAAAATGGCATGCCTTTCTCAAAACCGATTCCCCAACATGTTCACCATGGATGACATTCAATCGCATCACGATAATATTAGTGTTAGCACTGATGCGTTTGATGTCGATGGAAGTGGAACTTTCACCCCTGGTAGTAGTGATACTAGGGGAAAAATGAGGGCTTCTAGGCTGAGTAGCCCGGTTTGGAAAGTTTTCAAAATAGAGGATATTGAGGGGAAGGGGAAAAGGGTTGTTTGCCAAAAATGTAGGAAATACTTTAGTTATTGTAGCAAGGGTGGTACGGGTCATTTGAGCAGACATCTGCTCACACATGAGTGAGAGGAAGATGAAGGGAGAGAAACAACCTAAACACAGATTGGGAGGGGGACTAGTTTTGGTACTTTTAGATATTCACAAGAAAAAATGAAATAAGAACTTGCTAAATATATTGTACATGTAGAACAACCATTTATGTTAGCTGAAGATCCAAAGCTAGAAAAATGGTTGTGTAGTTCTGTAAACCCACAATATAAAAAAGTTTCTAGGAATGCTATAAGAACTGATGCTTTAAAAAATTTTTATTCATATAAATAAAATTTAATTTCTTTGTTAGTAAATCTTAATTCTAATGTTGCAATTAATTTGGATGTTAGGACATCCAAATTTAATATTAGTTATATTTGTGTTACCGGCCATTTCATTGATGAAAATTGGCTTTTGAATAAAAGAATTTTAAGTTTTACTAGGCTTGAATGGCCACATAGTGGCCCAGCTATTGCTGCAAAGTATTTTAAATACTTTGCATGCTTATGGTAAATTAGTTTTGATAAGTTTTAAATACTTTTGCATGCTTATGGTAAATTGTTTTCTATTAGTTTTGATAATGCTAGCAATAATGATTCTGGAATAAATATTTTAAAATCTCAATCAAAACCATGCTTAAATGGTAAATTATTTCATATTAGATGTGCATGTCACATCTTAAATATATGTATTCAATATGCCTTGATTATTATTTCAAATCATATTTTAAAAATTAGAAATTGTATTATATATATAAAACGTTCAGGGGCAAGAAAACAAGAATTTAAATATTTATGCCAAAATTATGATTTAAAATATAAACATTTTATATTAGATGTAAAGCATAGGTGGAATGCCTAATGATATGATATTTGAGGCAGTCTATATAAGTGATCATTTAAAACATTTTTATGATGCAACAAATGAATTATCTGGAATTTATTATCCAACTAGTTGTAATTTATCATATCAATTAATGGTAATTAGTGATTGTTTTGCCAAATATAGAAATAATCCACAATTTCAATATATTGTTGAAATTATGGAAAATAAATTTTAAAAAAAAATACTAGGAGAACATTTCTCTCATTTATTGTTTAGCTACCTAGGATTAGAAAAGATGGTTTAGATATTTTAGTTGAAACATATTATGAAAATATGAAGGTTTTTGTGGGTGTGGTCATATTGCCCAAATCTGTAACTTCATAGGTAACGTCAATATTATGCAAGGCACCATCACTGTCTTCTAGCTAGGAAGCATGCTTATGTGAATGCAAAATAGTATAATGGAATTTCGAGATGAAGACAATTACGTGCTAAGGTTGATCTGGAAAAGAAACCAATAAAGGTTAGGAAGCCTTGTCTTCATGAACCTCAGCACTAACATGCAATCAGAATTAGGGTTGTTATTTAAACATAAGGTCTGGAGAGATGAAGAACCAGTTGGCATAATCTCAGCACCAACACCTCCTCGAGGTGTTGAAAAACCAGTTGGCATTCCTGGAGAACTTCTTGGGCGAGAGAAGAAGAGACTGGAGAGATGAAGATGACGGAGAAACCAACATGTTTTCCAGATGGTCGGCTGAGGTCGCCGATGACCTGGGTATATTTCATTTCGTCTTCAACGCTGGCGATGCTTATGGCATGACCATCTACTTTTCCATGTGGTCACAACTCCCCCACTACCAAACGGATTCTCCCAAGTTCCCAATACGAAACAGATTCTGCCAAACCGTACACTAATGGGACCAATGATTGCTCTAGATTCATACAGACAGGTTCATCTATGGTTGAGATCATACAAGCTTTTGTTTAACACGGTGGAGGACTTCGATCGGACTGGTTTTCAATATTTCAAAAGGGTGAGTTGTCAGCTCGTTTGGGCGATTGAGCCTACCACCTCTTCCTTGGCCAACAAAACCCGTACGGACAAACCCCCTAGAACCACCCCGGATATGCATCAAGTGGCTCGATATGCAACCTCCGGATTTTGTTCTTTACGTCTGCTTCGGTTCTCAGAACACAATCTCTGCTTCACAGATGACGGAATTGGCTATTGCTTTAGAGACGAGCGATAGGAATTTTATATCGATCGTTAGGCCTTCGGTGGGATTTGACATAAACTCTTGAATTCAGAGCAGATGACTGGTTGCCAAAGGGATTCGAGGAACAAATAAAAGTGCAAAACAGAGGATTATTGGTGCATAAATGGCACCCAGGTGGATATTCTCACATATCTACCTCTGCCTTTCAATGGCGGAAAGCTTGAGCCATGGCATGCCAATCATCGGGTGGCAGACGTTGTCGATCAGTTTTACAACACGAAATTTTTGGAGGAAACTAGCGTTTGCATTGAGGTTTCTAGGGGAAACGAGTGTTTCAAATAGTCGACTCTCAGTCTTGGATGGGACTGAGATGTAAGGGACCCCCTTCAGAGGCTCTCTGTTAGTGTTCTTCATTTTCTCTCTTTACTCTAGAGTTTAACCAGAGAGAAGAGGGTAGTTTGAGCAAAGTAAATGGGATGAAGATAATAGCAGAAAAGGAGAAAAGGCTAAAATAAATTAGAAAGGGTTGTTTAGGCATTTAGAAAACTTTAAACAGTAAAATCAAAATCTTTGTCACTGGTTTAATATTGATATTTAAAATCTCTAAATTATCCCTAAATTCTTAAAACCATAAGATCTCATAATTTCATTTTTAAAGTACCCCCAAGGCTCAGTTTGAAAAGAGTACAAATGCAAATATGTACTGCGTAAATACATACAAAATATAAGGTTTTTCACTATATATTTGTATTTGTACTCCTTCCAAACTCGGCCTAAAGTATTATAGTTCAATTCCTAAAATACCCCCAAATTCCTAAATAGCTATACCAGGTGTAAATTATCTACAAAATAGATAATTTTTAAATAATTACTTTGGAGTACGAAAAATCCAGGGATTAATGGGTGCCCCACCCCGTCATCGGAGATGGGGCAAAGTATCTTGACTACGTGGGAGGGGATGCCCCACCCCAAACCCAGCCAGCCTCAAATAGGAGGATGCGGGTTCTCAGAAGTCGGGATGGGGGCCCATTCTTATGTGTCTAAAGACAAACATGAGAAAGTGAAACCTTTTAAGAATATTCCATCTTTCTCGCCCTTTTCTTCCAAATCAAATGGAGCATTGGAGCCTCAGGAGTCCTTTGGAATTTCAAGCCATCACACTTTTAATCGTCTGCTGAGAATGCTTTAATGTCCATAACAATGCAAATCAGATTTATGACAGGAAATCCATAGGGTCCCTGTTGCACAAAAGATGAAAGGAAACCTCGAACCATACTCGTCAATTTAGGACTACCTCGGCTGCTACCCATCCATGCACTTAATTGCTCTCATCCATGCACTTAATTGCTCTGGTGAAAACATTTTGGCCTGTAAGTCTGACCAACAAGATGGGCTCCCTCGAAATCAGTTTGTGTTGACACCCTGCAACTTCTAAGCTACTACATTTGTTGCCTTGGAGAGCCATCATCTGATCCACAATTCAGGTGATGACAGAAAAAGACATCTAATCATGTTATACAATTCCATTTACATCTCGGAATCAACCCATTTGCTAATGTTCTAGAAATCCTTTCAAAAGCATGCTTCGCAATCTTTCAATTGCAGGGAAAAAACTCTAATATATTCCCTAACTATTTTTAGATAGAAACAAGTCCAGAAAAAAAGATAACAAAATAGATTGGCATGTGCAAAGTTTGTCCATGAACCATTCAGCACAAGCATTTTGATTATTCTAGGGTGCAAGAAGCATTCAAACGTAGGAATCCAGCCAGGAAATAAGGCTACAAGATCACTTCTACATGAAAACCTATTGCATATAACAGGCCAGAGTAAAATTAAACACTTCATGCCATGTCAAGCACACAGCGGAGGCAATTCCCCTCATGCAACAGATCAAATGCCTTGTTGATCTCCCCAAGAGTCAATGTGTGTGTAATGTACTCATCAACTTTGATTTCCTGTAATATGCAAGAAAAAGGGGGGATAAACAAACAAACAAGAGTCATCATATTTGCTTTCCCTAATCAAGTAGTAGGCAATGCTACCAAAACCAACCTGGCTTCTGCATATGTTTACCTGCCTTGCATAGATGTCACATCAATCCTAGGGTACTTCAACTAACCAGAACACAAGCAGTTATACAAGCAGGTTGTCATCCTAGGGTACTTCAACTAACCAGAACACAAGCAGGTTGTCATCAATCCTAGGGTACTCCATACCAGGTTGTCATCATGGAACTCTATACCAGGGCAACCCTTACCGGATGACATCATAAATAGCAGTAACACAGCAGGAACCTACTAATTTTCAGTGCATAATTCTGCATGTTACCAAGCCCAGTGGAAGATACACATGAGATTAGGGATAGTGCAATACCTTTTTCATGTACTTGTCAACAAGCCAAGGCACTTGAGTACGACTCTTGAAGCCACCAAAGGCTGTTCCCTTCCAAACACGCCCAGTGACCAGCTGAAAAGGACGAGTGGATATCTCTTGACCTGATGCGGCAACACCCACTACAACTGAAGTTCCCCAACCCTACAAGTATGTAGTCATATCACGTATGCACTAAGGATTATTCTTTTATCCACCATAGACAGGAAAAGAGCAGTAGCAGAATTGTGGTGTATATTAACTACTAACACACACATAGGTGGCTTTTCTTCAATATATAAAATTATAGCCTTTGTGAACGATCAAAAAAAAGTATAGCCTTTGTGCACCTCTACTAGAGGCTCATGTGCTAATTAGTGAACTTCTACCCCAACCCCCAATAGGATCTCCAAACTTGAGCAACCCAGTCGGTTATAGGCTTATAGCAACTCACCTTATGACAACATTCCAGTGCAGCTCTCATCACAGAGACATTGCCTATGCACTCAAAACTGTAGTCAACACCACCATCAGTGAGATCCATAATGACCTGTTGTATTGGTTTCTGATGATCCTTAGGGTTCACAAATTCTGTAACTCCAAAATTCTTTGCTGCAAAGTACAAAACATGATAAGAAAATACCCAAATACAAACATTTTAAATCAGGTGAACAATGCCAAATACCAACTAAATGAGGGAAACTGGTACAACTTCAACAAATGGTTTTGTTGATAAAAAAGAAAATGACAAAGTGGTTGAACAAAATTTTGTGCTTAAATTGCCAATTAAAAATGATCAAAAAATCCATGAGTTTTCCATACTCCGTAAAAGACTATATACTGCCAACAGAAAGCTGCAATATGGTTAAGACATAAGGAGATGTAATGCAGTAATGGTGAGCCAAACCCCCTCAACCATAGACTCATGTTCACACAAGACCCCCTTGATCCATATTCCGTATTTCAGTATTTGACCCATGGCCCATAGTTGAAGACTGCTTCGGCAAGCACATCATCAAGCAGCTTAGAGGGAGAACAATCTAGAGAAGATTGTTCATGAATCAGAACAAGATTTGAGCATGAATCATTTATCTGTAATAATCAATTGTACTTTATTCTAATTGCCTAGTGTTGTTTGCATTGTTTTAGCTTCAATATTTAATGTCCCCTTTCCCAACAATTACTCCATTATTCATATAAAATGAAAATAATATCTATATATTTAAACAACATTGTCCATGTCATGTGGTCTCTACTTTCAGACAAACTATTTATCTTTTTCTCTTTTCTTTTGAATTTTTCTTTTTCTTTTTGTTCTTTGAGAAGAAAAGCTACAGAGATTGGTCCACGTATACAGAGGTGTCATTCACAAACAAGAGCCTCTTCATTTTCCATATTTCACCACTTTCAGAGGTACTCTTCCAAAACTTTCCTAAGAAGGTTTTTAGGGAAAAAGCAGCATTTTTTATTGCTTTCGCATAATATATTGAGAAAACACAAGAACTTCTAAAGAAAATTTTGTTCCGAATGCTATTTTCTTGAACAGCTAACCTAAAATGATCAAAAGACACAATAGTTCAAATAAGCCATCGATTGACCTCCAAAGCTGAGAGATTACTCCTGTTGGATCATCAAAAATGCTAACTGATTGCTAACAAGTAATAACCACGAAAACAAAAGAAAATTGAAGATGTACCTATATCATATTTTCTGTTGTCAATATCAATGCCTATAATTCGTGATGCACCAGCTGCCTTCGCACCCTCTGCAACCTATGAAGCCATAATAATTATGCAACTTACTAGAGAATGTACAGCAGTCAGCAGATTCATGATGCTAGCAAATAGGTGTTTCTGGACAACTTACTGCAAGACCAACAGTCCCCAGTCCAAAAACAGCAACAATGGAACCCGGTTCTACCTTTGCTGTGTTCCAAGCTGCCCCAAGACCTAAAATAGAATAGATAAGTTATAAATTTATAAAGGAAAGATTACTCATCATTAAAATATAATTGGAAATATTAAAAAAATGCCTATGTCAACCTAAGGCCTGGACCACCTAATAGATAAGTTATAAAAATGCCTACTCATCATTTTAAAGAAGCAAGACAATAAACGTCTAGAATAAGGTGCTTATTCAGGTGAATTCCAAGGTCTGCCAAGAACAGGAATGATAGTCTAGGAATTTAGCTTCAGTCAGTGCAAGTCCATGCTCACACAGTTCGAACAGCCTCTAGCAGTCTTGCATTGGGAATATCTCCCCATGAAATAAAGCACATAGGTATGGAGATATTCCCAATACAAGGGTGTAAAAGCTGTTGGAACGGGCGTTGCACTGACTGAAGCCGATCTCATAGTCTAGATAGAGAGGGAAAAGGTAAGGAGGTTTTGTACAAGGCACCAGGTTTGGGGCAACTGTACAGTTCAGTATAACAGTAAGTATCCATAAATTTGAATCCAGGTTTAGGGGTTGTATGACTTGTATCTTCTATTCTTGTTCTCTTTTTTACATTTCAGCAATATCCTTGCAACTGACCAATATAATGCCCATTTTCTAAAATCAATCTATTTTCCCTCAATCATATAGTGATGTTGGTTTGCATTCACACATTTGTTACACTTAATCATAAGAATAATAGATAATGGTAACTGACTCCAGCCAATGTCTTATAGCTAAACATTTTTTATTGGTTGGCTTATAGCTAAGTGCAAATTTGGTTAAATTGAAATTTCTATAAACACCTCATGTACATTCCTAAGTTGTGTTGTGTGTGTGTGTGTATATTAAGTATTTACAAATAATTAATTATGGGACCCAGAATGGAAATGCCAAAAGTTATGTTTCAAATCATCAAATGATATCAAGAAAGCAAAGTTAACAAACCATTATGCATCACCATTCAAAAATGAATAAATATTCTTCAGCTTAAGTTTCACATGCTGGACAGTTCATATCATGATGGCCAACGATATATACCAAATGAAATAGCATATGCCAGAAGATTTACAGAGGATGTGGAAAATGCTTCATGCATTCAATTTTAAGTCCTGGTAAGTAATATGATGCTTTACAAGGAAGACAAATAACAAATACAATGACTATAAAATCCACTAAACCCCCTCTGCAAAGAATGTTAATTTCTTGGCAACAATGACCCTAGGACATGATAAAATATGTGCCTTTTAATATCAGAGGATATCTGCAATATTTTTCACAAGTTATGCTTTACAACAGAGACACAGGACAAACCTGTAGTAACACCACAACCAAGTAGGCATACTTTTTCTAGAGGAGCTTTTGGATCAATTTTTGCAACACTAACATCATGTACAACTGTGTACTGGCTAAATGTTGAGGTTCCCATGAAATGGTAGATAGGAATCCCGTTTTTTGAGAAACGACTCTTGCGATCACCCAACATAACTCCAACACCAGTAGCATCCCGCACTTTGCTACAGAGATTTGTCTTCCCTGATTTGCAAAATTTACATTGTCTACATTCTGCAGTGTAACAAGGTATAACATGGTCCCCTGGTTGAACCTCAGAAACACCTTCACCAACACTTTCCACGACCCTGCATGGCAAATCTCAAACATCAACTTCTTTGAGTAAAATAATCAAGTTAAATGGAACTTTTACTTGACACAAGAACAGGACATACCCTGCAGCCTCATGACCAAGAATACAAGGGAAAAGGCCCTCAGGATCCTGCAAAGCAAATAAACTATTACAGAGTAATCGTGATAGAATTTATTAACGGAAATTAATAATGGTTAAACCAACAATTAAAGAGAAAGTAGGCTGCAAAATAGCATATTCAAGCATTGATAACGCTATACCAGACAAAAGGAAAAGCACAGAGCAATGCACAAAGCAAATCCAAGAAATGAGCTTTCAACGGCAGCAGAAACAAAAAGCAAGAAACAATAATAACAACTCAACATAATGAAAACACTGGAAATGGTAGGGGAAGCGCCTTTTTCCTGCAACTTCCTCCACAATACCCTGAAGTTCTTTAATCCCCATTCCCCAAGCATTATCCATATATTGATAAATCTACTTGAATATGTTTCTACTGTTGTTCCTTCCCCTACAACTTCCACGTTTCATAATGTTTCCCACATATGAAACAGGTTTCCTTGCAACCATGAGTAAATAGTGAATATGGAACTGGATATAAAATCTAGCAGAAAGTACAGTAAGAGTGGGGCAATATACTACCAGGAACCCAATTGTTGGTGGATATATCCACGGAGAAACAGAATACCAAAAAGAATTCTTATACTGAGTTTTCAGTAAAATTCCAGGGGAAAAAAAACAAAACTGATACTGAAGAGTAACACATCTAGGAACCCAGCACGCTTTGAGAGCACTAAACAGATGACATCTACAAAACTATGTTGCTAAATAGTAAACATTGTAACATTAGTCATTAAGCACCTCGATCTATCATAGCCAGTATCAAAGAAGAAATAAGTAGATTACCTTTCCACTCCAGGTATAAGCATCAGTGTGGCATAGAGCAGTGAAGAGTATCTTAATTCGGACTTCGCCGGCCTGAGGCGGAGCTACCTGCACATCTTCGACCACCAATGGTTTGTTTGGTTCCCATGCAACCGCAGCTGGTTCAACATTTTCGTTTTCATTCAGACAGTACAGAAACCATCAGAACGTAATCAAAGCCATAACAGATTTCCTCACAGATCAAGAAGAACTGATATGGATCCATCTATCTATCCACTAGAGAAACAATGTTACAGGGACAGAGACGAAGATAGAGAAAGAGGGAGAGAGTACCTTTGCAGGTAATGACCTGGCCTTGAGTCGCCATGAATGGAGAGCACTAGGTTTCTTGGGCTGCTATCTCACACTCTTCGTTTTTCTTTACCCACACCAGCCCAGAAGTCGCTATTTAAGATGTGCGGCTGTAGTATAGCCTAGCCTGAACACACTACAGCCGCACATCGGGAACATGGCAAAACGAGAGCACAGCATATCCACGCTCGGCCTAGCGTCCTGTGTAAGATAAAACGCTACCAACATTGCTAGAGACAGTATGCCAGTTCGCCACCTGTCCTTAACATGAGTTAAGGTCCTCATATGTGTGCGGTCTAGACACAATCCTACCAGTAAACCTTCCTCCTCTGTAATGGAAGCCTCCCCTCTCAGAGTCTCGGTCTCAGTCTCAGCCACCTTCCTCTCAGAAGCTAACTCTGACGGGTTTCACAGCACCAGTTTTCAGGCACAAAACCACTTTTTCCAACAACACACAGAATCTTTCATTTCCCTTCAATCCGCAGTTCTACAGTCTGCACCGCTATCAGCCGAACCAAGAAGGAAGAAACGACGGAAAACGCTAAGAAACAGTTATAAAACTGTTATCTTGTCGCTGGAATCCAGTATAAGAGCTTCACAGTGGAGCAATTCAAGAGCTCGGACGGAGTTTAACGGAATGTGTCAAGCTCGTCGTCGCCAAAAACAGGCTTATCGGCAAGGCCTTCGAAGGTTTGCCATGGGAATCCATCTTTGGCATTTTGTCTATCCTGAACTTTTCCTCTGAAACCTTTGCGGTAGAATAAAATTAAATTCAGAAAAGTATAAAGAAAAAAAAAATGAACTGGAGACTGAGAAAACTAATAGTCGGTTTACTATGTACTGTGAATTAAATCCGGAAACCCTAACCTCCGTGAGTGACATTGTGGAAGCGTATCGACTGAGACGGATTTCGAATCAAGGAAGAGATGAGTCGGGACGATGAATCGAACCATCAAAGTGTGTGAAGATGCAGAGAGGGAAAAGGGGTTCGAGCAGTATTGAAAAGAATTGAGATGTGTAATGAATGACGACAGTTTTTACCAATCCAAGGGTTTGGATTGCCGCTTTTCGAGTTTCAGTTGCCACATTTTACAGGCAAATGACGCGAAAGTGTCGACACTCTCTGCAGTGCTCCCAAGTCTCAACCCATCGTTGACTCAGTCGATCGGACCGATAATATGTTAATTTGGTCATAAAACCGATTCGGGTCAGCCTCCCAACCACTGTTTTTAATCATCTGAATCTGATCATTGACTCAGCCAATCGGACCTGTTAACTCAGTCGCTATTTACCCAAACCGCTGTTTTACGATGAGAAAGTAGATCTGATCATTGACCCGTCAATCCGGGCAGTTCAACTATTCGCCCGGATGGTTGAACCGTCGATCCGTTGGCGAAGAAGGGAACACAATCCAAACTTCGGGTGCACAGAGAAGCTCCTACTGCGGAAGAAGGTTTGAGACTTGGGACTTGGGAGGGAAAAGAGTCGTATCTACACCGCACGTGTGAAAACCTTTACTCGTATTAAGACAGGTGGCGAGCTATCTTAAAGTTGGCTGTCTTGTTGGTAGCGTCCTGCTACCAGCAGATGCAGAAATGATGTTTGCTTTTTTATATTAAATTACCAAACTCACCCACGGTTCATATAATCACATCCGTTATCTACCTTTTAAAGTAATGATCGAGCGGCTAATAATATAATAGGAAAAAGGATTGTGGTTAAGATCATTTTGTCAAGTGTCGGTTCGTAGAGCCCACTTGCATGTTGCATACACACGTGCTCTTTTTAAAATTTATCGATATTTGAATGTATTTTGGTGTCCTATTATTCGGGAATCCGGATTTAGGGCTCGTTTATTTTATTTTATTTTGTTGAAGATGTATGGATAATGTCAGCAATCATGTTAGACAATTTTTAGGCCCTATTATTAATAAAAGTAATAAAATTCTAAAAATAAATTAATTTTTTTAAAATAATATAAAAAAAGATAAAGTTATTGTTGATCATCTTCTTCTTATACCTTATTCATCTGAGCCGTCTGCCGCCGCTTCTGACACGTCTCCGCCCACCTCCGGCGACACCTCCGCCCATCAACGTCTATCTTTTACCGAACCGATCAAACACACAGCTCCTCTACCCATTTCTCCTCCATTAATCCAATAATCTCTGTCTCTCCTGTGGATCACCTGAGGGCAAAGGAAGGCGAGAAGAGGGAGAGAATGTCGACCGTCCATGGAATGAATATTTCGGAAATAGATATACATGAAGTCATATGTGAACCAAAAGCCCTGATCTATTCCGGAAGCACCTGGTTCGGAGGCAACCCCTTCAAATCCTTTTCAGAAGAACTATTCCAACATGGCTGCTGGGAGGGGCAGTGCTTTGTCTAACCTTAACCTAAACGTACTCGTCGGTGCCCCTTGCTCGGTGGGGATCCTTGTCGACCACGGTTACCGGCGGCCCGCCGTGCTTACCCAACACTTCTCCTATAAGGCATTGCTGATATTCTTATTTCTTAGGCGGAGCCGACGACCGTGAGACACTGGCTTATGCCAACCGCATGTCATATCACCCAGGTGTGAGCATCACCGTGATAAGGTTCCGATTATCGAACGACAGTGACGATTATGAGGCTAAGAAGAAGCTTAATGAGTCAGTTCTGCTCGAATTTCAATTTAAGAGCATGAACAAGCAATCTGTCTTGTACCATGAATCGGTCGTGGCGGATGAGGGGCATGTGCTTCCTCTAATAGGATCTCTGGAGGACGACTACGACCTTATCATGGTGGGAAGAAGACATAGGACCACCATGGCTGACTCGAGGGAGAGCACGGAGCTCGAGTTTCTTGGCGACAAGCTTCTGTCATCAAACTTGGTTTCCAAAATTTTCTCCCTGTTGGTAGTGCAGCGATGCGAAGCGGTGAATTCCGATCCAGTAATTAAATGAAGAAACCAAACTTTGAGAAACTTTGGCTACCGTCAGTCTTGCACCATTTTGGCCTGTATATAGGAAGAAGGTCAAGCTGAGAAGGCCCGCTCTAAGGAGCTGAACCAGGGCCGAAAGAGAGTATAATTCTCAATGTCTTATCGGCTACTATTGATTTTACGATGTATGAATTGTTTCAACAAAACCGGCGAGAGGAGGAAGATGAGCAACAGTGTTCAATGCCCTTTATTGATATTTTTTTTGGAAAAACGTTATTATATAAGGGCAAAAAAACTACCTTATTTAAAAGTACTATCTTTGTACTATTAGACCCTATTTATAAACTTACTTTTTTAACTTTTGAAAATTCATTTTTTCTAAGGTTTTTTGGGTTAGAGTGCAGAGCTTTGTAGTTTGTATTATTTTGTATGCATTTGTATTTATATAATGATCTTGATGTTTTGCTATTAAATTAGACAAAAAAAAAAAAAAACTCTTTTGCCTTTGGTTATTTTTCAATTTTTAAGAATATATTTCCATTTAATGTAAGCTCCTCCCAAAGCAAAAGCATCCATTGAAGTTCCCTTCAATTTGATCTCTTCATTTAGAGGTTGTTTAATTCTATTTGCATTTATTTAATAAACATTTTGTATATCATTTATCTTGAAAACAGAAAAATAGTTGAAAACGTTTTTTAATGTTTTTGATAGTTAGGTGCCATTAGGCACCATATAAACTGAATAGTGGAAAAAAAATGCTTTGGTATTAAGGGGAATATTAAAAAGAAATTTCCCTCAATAAATGGTTCTCACACAAATCAAGACAAAAAATATTAATTTGATAAATGATTTATCATTTATTTGATAAATGACAACGGAACTGAATCCATTATATATCAACCCCACACTCATTATGTATTGAATCTCCTTAAAAATGAATGTCTTAATTTTGACTATCTACTATGATCTTCTCTCCATTTATATATATGTCTTCAAGCTTAGATATTTTATATCTGAAAGACCGAGTATGTTTTCGCTTGAACTTTGAAGATCTTTTAATTGTTGGTTTGGCTCTATTGAAGTGGCCAGACTCAATATTCTAATTACTTTGTTGAGTTTCTCAATGGTAATGCCAGGCTTGCCAAGTATTATTGTGGATGAGTAAAAGGAAATTGAGGCTGAGAAGATTGGGTTTTCTGTTTATTGCCATAGGGGGAGGATGCAAACCATGGAGGAATGGTATTCAACAATATTAATCTTCAAGGAGATGCCAAGCAAGTAGCTTTAGATTAATGTGGTTTTACATTTATGTGGGTTTGGGGTTGAGAATGAAAAGCTTGTTGATTACAAAGCACAACCCATGGGAAACAAAACCCACCTGTAGTATATATCAATTCATCTTCATCAATATTTAAGACGAGATTTGGTTCTGAAGCCTGAAGGCAATGCTGGTGTGTTGAAACTTGAAGCCAATTTGTTGGGTTCCCTCCTTATGAGGTGGGGCCCACTCACTTTTAAGTAAAGATAAAAGGGAAAGAAAGACGGATTAAGGAAAGACTCTCATTCTCTCATCTCAACACACTCATTCATTGGGTGACTTTTGGGCTATTGAGACTATGGTTTTCTTGCAAGGGTTCAAGTAAGGAGAAATTGCTATGAAGACCATATCCACAAGGTTTGTGTTGCTATTCATCTCCACTAAGGTTTTCAAGAGTTGTTTGTTCTTTCTTTGAGGTGAGAAGATTATTCTTGTTTTACTATTGTAAACCACCATTTTTTGTGAGGATTTGAGCTGAACCAAGAGGGTTTTTTTCTTGATGATATCAACCTATAATTGTTGCTAGGGAGGAACTCATTGTAATTCCATTATTGTTGTTATAGTGGAGAATTTTCTAGATTAGTGCCCAGTGGTTTTTCATCTTCACATTGAAGAGGTTTTCCATGTTAAAAATTGGTTTTGTGTGCTGATCTCTTGTTGCTTCGATGTTTTTCTAGTATTTAGAGCTTATTATTTTTGTTATTATGAGTTTTGTTGCGACCTAAGTCAACCATCTCACACCTGGGTTGTGTAGTAGTCGACTACTAGCAACAGAATACTACATTTTACCACCATAATAGCGAATTTTGAAGGCAAAATGAGAGTATTCATAGGTGACGCCTAGGTTTGTTTTTAGATTGCTTTAAAGCCTTTTGTTAATCATTTTATTGTGTTTTCGGGACCTACAAACTGGTATCAGAGCTGTG